GTGGGAAAATTGGGCGGACGAGTCGTTAACGTCAGTGGAGCTCTGGGGCTGGTGCCAGGGGGGCTGGCTGGAGGGGAGCATGGCGTGCCCTTATGGAGGGGGATGCAGCCCCCCATCCTCTGCTGGGGCCTGAACCCCCCTCCTGGCTCTGCCTGCACCCCTGCCTGGTCCCCTGATGTGGTTCTGGGTCTGGTTAATTAACGAGCTTCCGGAGCCGCTGGGGGAGGGGCCCCGCTCACCTTGGCCTTCCCCCCGACTCGAGGTTGTTTCTGGCTGCTTCAGACCTGGGTCTTGGTGCTGGGGATGGAGCAGGGGGGCTGGGCTGGGATGACCCTTGAGGGGGCCAGGTGCTGCCACCCAGATGCTCTGGATGCTGCTGTCAGAGAAGGCACCATCAGCTGGTGACCAAGGTGGAGGAGTTGGAGGCATCGGCCTCTCCAGGCAGCTGCTGTGGTGTTAGAGCAGGGGCAGGAGCCAGGGGTCCGGGCTGCTGTCCCCAGCTCCCAAATTCGGGGCATGGTGAGCTGCAGCCCAGCCCCCAGAGTGATGCTGGGGGCTCGTGGGGCCTTGGCAACTTGTGAAGCCCCTTCTCCCCGCTCCGTTCCCAGAACAACTACATCAAGACCTCCAAGTACAACATCATCACCTTCCTGCCTATCAACCTCTTCGAGCAGTTCCAGGAAGTGGCCAACACCTATTTCCTCTTCCTTCTCATCCTGCAGGTGAGCACTGGGGAGCCCAGGGAGGCAGGCAAGGCCCCCCACACACACTGTCCTTCCCTGGCTGGGCAGCTGGGAGGGCCCAGGGCACATCCTGCCCCTGAGGAGTGCTGGGTTTGGCACCCTTGAGCAGGGGGGACCTGGGACTGGCCTGGGCCACTTTAACTCCTGCTCTCTGTCCCCAGCTCATCCCACAGATCTCTTCTCTCTCCTGGTTCACCACCATGGTGCCTTTGGTTCTTGTCTTAACCATCACAGCCGTCAAAGATGCCACTGATGACTATGTGAGTGGTTCCCCATGTGTCTCTCTACCCCAGCTGGCTGGGCATGGGGACCTGGTTGGACAGGGGACTGTGACCCTGGGGTGGGTGTGCGGTGCCTGGGGCTGTGGTGTTTGCAGGGGGAAGGGACAAAGGGACACAGGACCCCGTGTCCAGAGGGGCTGACAGGAAAGACCTCACTTTCTAACAACTCCTGCCAGCAGGAGCAGGGCAGGGATTGTCCCCCTGTGCTGGGCACTGGGGAGGGGACACCTGGAATCCTGGGGGCAGGTCTGGGCCCCTCAGGACAAGAAGGACATGGAGGGGCTGGAGCGTGTCCAGGGAAGGGCAACGGGGCTGGGGAAGGGGCTGGAGCACAAGTGTGAGCAGGAGCAGCTGAGGGAGCTGGGGGTGTCCAGCCTGGAGAGCAGGAGCTGAGGGGAGACCTGCTGGCTCTGCAGCTGCCTGAGAGGAGGTTGGAGCCAGGGGGGTCGGGCTCTGCTCCCCAGGAACAAGGGATGGGGCAAGAGGAAAGGGCCTCAAGTTGCCCAGGGGAGGTTGAGGTTGGATCCTGGGAACAATTCCTTCCTGGGAAGGGTTGTCAGGCCCTGGCCCAGGCTGCCCAGGGTGGAGTCCCCATCCCTGGAGGGGTTTCCAAGATGTGGTGCTGAAGGACATGAGTTGGTGGGGACTGGGTGGTGCTTGAATACTGATTGGACTGTGTGTTCTTATTCCAACCCAAACCGTTCCATGATGTTACTGTTCTAAGCTGTCTCTTCCCCTCTGCACCCAGTTCCGCCATAGAAGCGACAACCAGGTGAACAACCGGCAGTCTCAGGTGCTGATTGGCGGAGTGTGAGTGTCAGGGGGACATGGGGGCTGTGGGACACGGCTCAGGGGCAGAGGAGAAGCAATGCTACCAGCTCCCTCCTCACTCCTCTCCCTGTCCCTCCTCAGCCTCCAGCAGGAGCAGTGGATGAATGTCCATGTTGGAGACATCATCAAGTTGGAGAACAACCAGTTTGTGGTGGTGAGTGCAGCCCCAGCACTGCTGTGCTCCTCCATCACCTCCCAGGGTGCAGACATCAGGGGCTTCCCAGCCTGGAAACTGCATTTGAGCCATGTGTGAGCTCTGGGCATTTGGTTTGATGTGGGTGCTTCAGCCAATGATGTCCAGACCAGGGGGCTGGCAGGGCCCTGCTAAGGAGATGTGGTTCTGGAGACCCTGCTGGCCCCCATGTCCAAGGGCCAGGAACTCTGGGGGAGGCATGGGGAGCCCCAGTGTTGTCACAAACATGTCTCTCCCTGCAGGCTGATCTCCTCCTCCTCTCCACCAGTGAGCCCCATGGCTTGTGCTACATAGAGACAGCGGAGCTGGATGGGTATGTGACCATGGCTGGCCTCAGGCACCCATGTCCCTGTGGCCTTGGGAGTCCGGGAAGCAGGAGGTGGGAGTGAGAACAGGCTGCAGGCAGGGAAGAGCTTCTGAGGACCTGAGACCTGGCCAGGCTGTCACTGACCCCTCCCCGGTGCCTTCTTGCCCACAGAGAGACCAACTTGAAGGTGCGACAGGCCAACCCTGTCACCTCAGAGCTGGGGGACACTAGCAAGCTGGCTCTGTTTGATGGTGAGTCCCCAGCACTGGTCCTCAGCAATGGGGCAGCCCCTGGCGTCCACCCTAGAGAGACCAGGGCAATCGTGGTTCCGTGGCATGAAGCTCTCTGGGGATGGTGCTGGGAGCAGTGGGCAAGTGGAGGAGGCACCTGACAGCCAAGATATCCCCCAGGTGAGGTGATCTGTGAACCCCCCAACAACAAGCTGGACAAGTTTGTTGGGACGCTGTACTGGAAGGAGAACAAGTACCCCCTGAGCAACCAGAACATGCTGCTGAGGGGCTGCGTGCTGCGCAACACCGAGTGGTGCTTCGGCCTCGTCCTCTTCGCAGGTGGGCTGGGATGGCTGCGGCCACCAGAGGGCACTGAGGGTGGAGGACCCTGACCCTGACCCCTCCCCAGGGCCCGACACGAAGCTGATGCAGAACAGCGGCCGGACCAAGTTCAAGCGGACGAGCATCGACCGGCTGATGAACACGCTGGTGCTCTGGGTACGTGGAAGGCAGATCCTGGGGGTTCCTGGCTCTGGCCTGGCTGAGGCTCTGATCTCTCCACCCTGTCCCCAGATCTTCGGGTTCCTGGTGTGCATGGGGGTGATTCTGGCCATCGGCAATGCCATCTGGGAGCACGAGGTGGGCATCTGCTTCCAGATCTACCTGCCCTGGGACGAGGGGGTGCACAGTGCCTTCTTCTCCGGCTTCCTCTCCTTCTGGTCCTACATCATCATCCTCAACACTGTGGTGCCCATCTCTCTCTACGTGAGGTAGGGCAGGGGCCAAGGGGCTGGACTGGGTGGGGGGATGCGAGGGAATTTGGGGTGTCCTCTGGGGATGGGAGCTGGGGATGGAGATCCATGGGCAGAGCTGTGTGCATGGGGTGGGCACGGGCTGCTCTCCTGGTGATGGGCCACATCTGCCCTCGGGGATACCCCAAGACCTGAGACCCCACGGGTCCCCCGGGGGCCCCCCCTGGCTGTGTCTGTCTGGCTGCTCGTCTCTCCCTGCCCTGGCTGCATGCTGGTTATTTTGCTCTGCCCTCCTGCAGCTCCCAGGCTCCTGCACTGTCCCCTTCTCTCTCTCTTTTAATTTCTCTCTCTTTTCGTTCCCCAGCATGGGTTCTGTCACCCTTAGCCCCGAGGTAAGAACGTGTCACCCCCACCCCTCCCACTAGTTCATTGCTGTCTGCCCTTGGGGCCGGGGAGGGGGTTCGGGGTGCTTAGGTTTGTGAGATGCCCAGGGAGCCCCTCGAGGTGCCCCCTTGGTGGCAGGTCCTGTGTCCCCAGCCCTGGCTTGGCAGTGGCTGTGGATAGGAGTGGGTGTGGGCCAGGCCTGGGGTGCAGGAGCTGGCGAGCAGCGTGGGGGCCCGGGATGTTGGGGTGCCCCTGGCACTTGGAGGTCTGGGTGGCTGTGTCTGCTGTCACTGGCTCAGCAGAGCACACTGCCCTGCCATGGTGACACCCAGCTGTCCCCTCCCCACAGCGTGGAGGTGATCCGTCTGGGACACAGCTACTTCATCAACTGGGACAAGAAGATGTACTGTGCCAAGTGCCAGACGCCAGCTGAGGCCCGGACCACCACCCTCAATGAGGAGCTGGGGCAGGTGGAGTACATCTTCTCTGACAAGACTGGCACCCTCACCCAGAACATCATGGTCTTCAGCAAGTGCTCCGTGAATGGGCACAGCTATGGTGAGTGTGGGGACACCAGGGCTGGGCCGGGTCTGCTCACAGGGTGTGGGTGCACCAGCTTTGCTCTAGGGTACTAGGAATGAGGAGGCTCAGCCCTATAGCACCCCTAGGCACGGGTGGTGGTGGGGCAGCAGCTTTGGGTGCCTGCCTTGGCTAAGAGAGTTGAGGGTGTTCAGCCTGGAGAAGAAAAGGCTCCAGGGAGACCTTAGAGCAGCTTCCAGTGCTTCCAGAAAAGCTGCGGAGGGACTTGGGACTTGAGACAAGGGCAGGGAGGGATGGGATGAGGGGGATGGATGAAAACTGGAAGAGGGAGATGGAGATGAGATCTTGGGAAGAAATTCTTGGTTGTGAGGGAGATGAGACCCTGGCCCAGGTTGCCCAGAGAAGCTGTGGCTGCCCCATCCCTGGCAGTGTTGAAGGGCAGGTTGGAAGGGGCTTGGAGCAACCTGGGCTGGTGGGAGGTGTTCCTGCCCATAGCAGGGGGGTGGGACTGGATGATCTTTAAAGGTCCCTGCAACCCAAACTATTCCATGATTCATTTTGTGATTCTATGATTAACTCCCTGACCCTGTTTGCAGGTGACATTCAGGACGTGCTGGGTCACAAGGTAGAGCTGGGAGAGGTGAAGGGCTGGTGCCTGGCCATGCCACCTGCCACGGTGGGGTGACTCCCTCTCTGTCCCTGCCAGAGACCAAAGCCCATCGACTTCTCCTTCAACCCACTGGCAGACCCACGGTTCCAGTTCTGGGACCCCAGTCTGCTGGAAGCTGTCACACTGGGAGACCCCCACGTGCACGAGTTCTTCCGCCTACTCTCGCTCTGCCACACTGTCATGTCTGAGGAGGAGAGCGAAGGTGGGTGCAGGGGGGACAGGACCTGTCCCCACGGGGCTCAGGGCACAACCCTGTCTCTGACACCCACCCTATCCCCAGGGGAGCTCTACTACAAGGCTCAGTCCCCGGATGAGGGGGCACTGGTCACAGCTGCCAGAAACTTTGGGTTTGTGTTCCGGTCCCGCACACCCAAGACCATCACGGTGCACGAGCTGGGCCGAGCCATCACCTACCAGCTGCTGGCCATCCTGGACTTCAACAACATCCGCAAGCGCATGTCGGTCATCGGTGAGGTCCTGGGCACGGACAGGGGCTGGGCTGGGGGGTGGCAGTGGGGCTGGGGGAGTGGTAGTGGGGCTGGGAGGGCAGTGGTGGGGCTGGGGAGGCAGCAG